CACGAAAGGCAGCTTCACTCCGCTGAAATGAGGATGCTGAGATGGGCCTGCGGCTGGACGCGGCTGGACAGGGTCAGAAACGAGGATGTCAGAGCGGTCATGCAGACTGCCCCTGTCCAGCTGAAGGTGCGGGAACAGCGTCTGCGATGGTATGGGCACGTGCTAAGGAGGCCACAGGACCACCCAATAAGGAAAGCAATGGACTTCGAAGTGCAAGGCAAGCGACCGCGAGGAGCCCCAAGAGGTGGAAGGACGTAATCAAGAAGGACCTAAGTGAAGTCACGGCCACAGCAGAAGATGCCCTGGACAGAGCAAAGTGGCGACGACTGATAAAGACAGCGGACCCTGCGACTGCGCGGGACTAACGCTAGGGAGAAGAAGAAGAAGTATAAAGTTCCGAAGGGAAGTGAAATGCGTGGCGCATACAGAAATGAACCTGCCACTTTCAGGGGCTTGGTCTTTTTTCTGCTTTTCACAGTATATAAATCAATACAGGTAAAACTCATGGAATTTATGGTTTTATTCTCACTTTATCTTTTCACTAAGGCATAGTTGTATTTCTGTGATAATCTAATCGATGCAGCTAAATACATACTATTATATAATTCGATGGAGCTCTTATCACTGATACATTCTTGATATTATCGAAGCAGGTTTTCTGTGTAGATCAAATACGGCAAGTCAGCAATGACTGAGTCGATCCGGCGATCTTACTTATTCTCCTCTTCGGCTGTCGGCTGACCTTCTTCGGTTTTCTGCTTGTTCAATTCGGCTTGTTCAGCGGCCAGTTCTTCCCACTTCTTAGCGTTGTATCTGAATGCGACGGTGAGCGGCGGCTTCTTAAAGGAATCTTCCACGGAAAAAGCTCCGCCCTCATTACCACAGAAAACGATACCTTAAAGGAATCTTCCACGGAAAGAGTGATCATTTTGTCTTGTGTGTAGGATTAGTATTATCGAAACTAACGCTTATGTTCCGTTCTTTTTGCTATGCTCATGAGGCTAGGGGCCTAAGGGGTATCGTTTTTCTGTGGTAATGGAGGCGGAGCTTTTTCCGCGGAAGATTCCTTTAAGCTGTATACTTACCTACTTGTATAATATCCCTGAATGAGATATTCTATAATAGTGAGTCGTGCGTCTCTTAGATTCTCAGCAGTCATCCTCTTTTATCATGAAGGTTCAGAAGAAATTACGCTCACTGGTTTCTCTTTTTCTATACAAGGGCACTTTCACACCCTCTCTGGAGCCTTTACCCCTCCCAGCAGGGTGAATATTGCTTGAGGATTCCTCAACGGCACGTCGAGGATTTTCGCCTGATCCTTTACGTTCTCGCGCGCGGATATTCACTCTCGCCACCCGCGAGCCGTCTGTGCTCTCCGCGCGTACATTCACTATCGGCTCTACTCTCGCACAGCAGAGAGCGATGGTCGAGGAATTCCTCGACCGTTATTCACCCTGCATCACAGTGAGGCCTTGTGTGTTTTCGTATTCTTGCTCCCGCCCCACTTCCCCCTAACCCCGCGTACGCTAAAAATATAAAAACAGAACTCACTCGCATTGATCTCTGAGAAACGCTGATTCAGGTATCACTTTGGCGATAAGATCGTAGCATGGAAGGCAAATACCACGCATGAATCGACCTGCAATCAAGTTTTATGTTTGAAAAATTCACACCGCGCGGTCGCGCTGCCGGAATGCTCTATTATGTCAGGCTTTAGATCGTTTTCAGTTTTAAACGGTGGTAATAATTTTAATGTTTATTATGTGAGGGCGGAAGTGGTGTAGTGACAAGTGGCGCGCTTACCACGCGAGCGGTCCGGGATCAAATCCTGGGTCGTGAGTCGCCCGGGCCAACCAAGCCTTCCATCCCTCCGGGGTCGGTTAATTGGTACCAGACTTGTCTGGGAGGATAAAAACACTGACTTGAACATCGGCTGGCCCCCGCAAGTCATTGTATAGGCCACATCGCATTCAAACGCCACTGCGAATGTACAAATGGAAGTAGAATGCGTGCCGCATCCCAAAAAGGGATTGATCAACGGCAAATGCTTTATCCTTTATCCTTTATATGGTGTATGTGAAACTCTGAGCACTTTATTTCACTCCCCACTCCATTCAAAAACTGAGCCGCATTTTGATCGGAATTTTTTTCAGAACTAAGAATTTGACTAGAAGCCGTCTTCAAGGGTATTTCAATCCATAGCACCGGTGTATCTCATCAGTTCGGTGCGCAAACGCTTGACTTGCGCGCCATAGATGCTGACCTTATCACATTAATTTTGTGCAACTCTGTAACGCAGCCTACAAGCTTACTCGCAATGAAGTAGTGTGATATATTCTACGGGCCATACCCCTGACGAAGAATTCTCAGCGAATTTGGGGATCAAAGGTGTTCTTGCGTTTTTTGGCGCAGGCGCAAGGCGTTTCTCACCCCTAAAGAATAAGGGGCGTTCGTGTTTTATAAGTCAAACAGAGAAGAGAGAAATTCTTGTCAATGAGTAAAGAAACATTCGACGTCCTGCAGAAACATATTAATGGTCAGATTTTAATGGTTCTACAAGGGAATGATCACGGACAGCTTTAACGCTGCCACCGACATCCTGCGATGTGTAGCAGTGAATATCGAGCAGAAAAGTGTCAGCTGTTTCCGAGTTCATGCATGGAATGACGTAATCGGATCTGGACTTCACGAAAAATATGTCCATGATGAACGTACTGGTTCTTGATGCTGCATTGGCGCTCTTTGGAGGAAAGGTCTGAATGCTCTACTTACTTACTTAGAAAACCAGCATGCTAAATGGGTTATGAACACGTGAAGAGAGCAGTGAAGAGGGTGAGGACTCGGTTCCATGACCTTCGAACCAGTCGTTCCTTCCTGTTTTGACATAGGCCTCAGAGCTCAAACTCTAAGTAAGCAAGGCCGGTATTATCCAACGCGGTATGGATTCCAAAACACCTCGTGTCTGACTGCCGCTTCGATGTTTCATGATAGCTCGGCATGGAAGAAAATAACCGCTTTGCCTTCCTCGTACGAGCAGAACTCTTCTAGTTACTACGGCTCACAAAGGAACGATCGAATGAAAGACAGGAGTGGCCCCTTTCCTGCAGTTCATTGATTACCGGAGGGCTGGGCTCCTGTACACATTGAACAGCTCGGAAGGGGGCTCGTGGTCAAAAGCCTGGAGCAGGTGATGTCTGATGCGCTCCCAGTCTTCTATCGAATAAGGAAGCCGCTTAACCTGCATTTGTGGAAGCTCATGAGCTTTATTCCGATCCATCATCGGTATTGGTTCGCGTCCATTCAAACGTTCCGCGTCCCCCTGAATGAACGTTGGTTACTTTACTGGTTACGAGCCATGTAGTAATTAAGTGATCAAAGTCAGAATTAGTTAGATTAAGGTCCCAACCTGCTCGTAGAACTCCTCAAATATGACCTTGACGGTTTCCGTCTGGATGTACCATGGTTTCGCTGAAGCGATCAAATCGCAGCCGGTCATCAGTATTGCTTGCGTGAGTCGTCTTAACGATTTTATTGAAAATGTGAAAAAATCGCTAATAAGTAAGCTGATTCAAGATCAAAATTGACATTCTGTGAGTGAGTGACAGTAATTTAGAGGTCAAGAAGTGTTTACTCTGGGAACGATCACCTCAAGATGTATATAAAACAGTTTACAAGCGGGCTCACGTTAAGGTAAGCAAACCAG